ATAGAATTTTTTCTAATATTTTCAAGCAATAGAAGATAGACAAGGATACATCTTACACAATTTTGAAATCCTTATTAATATGTTAACTTGAAATATATTGGATTATATGAATGGTTTGGTGAATCCAAGTTGGACAATCAACATACAGTTTTGTTTCATTATTTTTTCTTCCCATGGCAACTACTCTTTTAAGTTGCTCATTGATAGAGGTAGATTCTCTTCCCTCTCTCTCTCTCTCTCCAGCAACATTTTTTTATCTCTATTCTTGGTGTCTAAGTGAATCTTTCATCTGTTATCACTATTATGACTTAGGTGTTGGTTGAGAGTTCCTAAAAAAGTGCACTTTTTTTGTCTTTTTACGAAAAGATGTGCAGAAAAGTAGAGAGGTGATGTGATAGAAAAAAGATAGGATGAATTAATAACCTTATTGCATATCCCAACTTGACATCAAAACATTACATCAGTGACCTGGATGACTTGTCTGACAATTTGGTTGATGAATTGAAAATTTGAAATGTTAATGTGGCTGTGCCATACTTGGTTAGAAGTACAACGCACACGCTCGTGACTGTATAACATTAGCAATTCATGTTGAAGTGGTAACATATCGAAATTGGGTATTGACCTATGGAAGTGAAATTTATTTGAAAATGTGCATTAGTTTTTTGTTTAAAAAATGCGACTTTAAAATCACCAGTTTTATTTCTTATTTTAACTTTGTGCCAATTTTTGTTGTAAACTGTTTTAAGTTTTACTATGATTGTTAACACCATATTCAATATCTTGCCTTTTTATATCTTTACCTATCTAATGTGCATTTATATGAAAGCAGCCAGATTTGGTGCTGTTTACAGGCAAGTCAAATTTCTTTTTTTTGTTTAATTGCCCTTGATATGGTTGACACTTGACAGGCATCCTAGATGTTTCTCTTCACTGCTTCAGTTCCTAGAAGCTACTATAATAATTTTTCTTCTTCTTTGCCTTGTTGGGCTTTTGCCAGGTGATTTTGGAAATGAGAACGTTGAGACTTGTTAGAAGTATTGCGGAGCTAAGTTCCTAAAGCAGTTATATTGGGAAACCATGATGCCTGAGTACTCAACAATTTGCTGAAAGGTATGTCAACTGTATTGAAGTATTGGGATTAGTTCAGATGTGGACTGCATTAAGAATTAATCAGATATAGATCTGATTCCAAGAAAAAAAATAATAATAATAAAACAAGAAAGCAAAAACAACATTGTCTGTTTTAGAAACAATTAGTAGTGCACTTTTAAACCATCTGGATATAGTTGATAATTTGGTTAATTTGCATGGCATATTTGTAGGCATTTTTTTTTTATTCAAGTTCCTGCTAACTTATTCCAGTCTTATATTTATCTCTTTCTGCATTAGCTCTGATGTATTTCTTTATTTCATATTATTTCCTTTGTGTTATTTTCTCTTTTGATAGTTAAATTTGGCTCATATAATGTTCTCACAACCTTTTTAGATTTCATGCCTGGTACTTATTTAATTAGGACTCTTGAATAGGAGATCTAGTGTTCCCACAAGCTGAGTTTTTTGTTTCTTTCAATAATTCTTTCTGCTGTTTGCTGCCGCGGCCCCTCAAACACACACACAACCCTCTACTTTCTTCTTCCTTAGAATTGTGGCTTACAAACTTGCATTTTAAGATTAAAAAAATTCCAATCTTCTTTCTGGCGTGTTCTCATGCAAGTCTTTCTTTAATAATATCATTAGAGGAGCCTAATGGTTGTTCTTTTTCATATTCATAAATAAATTTGGAAAGCTGTTGTGCATAAGAACTGAAAGATCTTTATGTGATGCGGTGTCCACGACCCAAACCGCCCCTAGTAGTTTGGTGCGTGATGGCTAGTAATCCGAGATTACCGAAGGCCAACTTACAAAATTCACACACAACAGAGTATAAATATTATGGGACTCACAAGTACGGAAGCGGATTCATACTAACAGGTTAGTCTATAAGACTGTGCAATAAGTCAAATGAAAATAGCAACCATCTTCCATATCGGGTTACAACTTAATTAAAAAAAAGCGAAGCAAAGTACAATTACATCTTACATATTAACAAGGGCTTCACAAGCCGGCACAACAAAAATGTATCGAAACTAACGGTCAAAGGAACACGGTCTGCCAGGTTGCCAGATCCTCCTTGCCGACGTAATCAATCAAAACAAAACAACATCTTGATCAAAAGGCTTCTCAGCCGACGTATGCAACATACAAGTATTACAAATCGAGAAGCATAATTTTCAAGACTAGCCGACGTCAATACAGGTTAGCCGACATAATCAAAACCAAAATACGCTCCATAGAATCACATCTAGCGTCACCGCCTTCTTGTTCATCACTTACATATATATAGAGAGGTGAGCTTGGATACTCAGTGAATGGTATAACTTCTTTTTCCCTCTCTAGCCGACCCTCTCTCTCTCTCTCTTAGAGTTGATATTAGCCAAAAATAAGAAAAAAGAGGAATTGAGCATGTAATGGCCCTCTAATTCACTTTATTTTAATATTAAATAATTGAGCACTTAATTCATTAATTTAGTCCATTAAATTTGATCCAAATCAATTTCCAATTAAATTTCACCGTAGGCTCTAAAAATTACGCTTAAACCAAACCAGACATAACTCATCAGAGTAAAGGGGCCAAACGGAAGCAAAATTTAAAACTTTGTCCATAGAGCTGTGCTTACATGGCACGTCATAACAAACCATACATACACATATTAATAACTCACATCAGAAAATACAGCGGCATAAAATTCTGTACAGACAGGATCATTCAAGTCTAAGTTAGCCAATCAAGACTATATACAAATATAGCCAAAGTCCTCGCCGACATGACAAAATAAAACAAGATAGCAAAAGGGCGAAGACGGGTCTCGTGCGTAAGTCGTAAAGGTTGATTTTTCAAAACCTCGATTGTTCCACGTTATCTGTTCTGCTGGAAATGATGGAGGTCCAAACACAACATACAATGGAGCACCTTGGATCATGACGGTAGGTGCTGGCACTGTTGACCGAAGTTTTGGAGGAAAAATGCACCTAGGAAATGGAGCAACTGTGGAAGGAACATCATACTTCCCGGAAAGCATATACATTACTGACAGACCTTTGTATTATGGGGAACGTAATCGAAGCAAAGCAACATGCAACCTTTATGCTTTGGATCCAAAAGAGGTTGACAGTAAGGTAGTCCTATGTGATAATAGCGGCAACATTAGTGTCATTAAACAAATGATAGAAGTTTTTAGGGCAGGTGCAAAGACTTAACATTAAACAACAGCCAACAGCCAATCAAATTCACACAAACAAACTCTCTAATTATTGTAAAATCAACTCTATTGAAGAATGATAGGCTACTAGACTGACTTAATCCTACAAAGACTTAACATTAAACAACAGCCAACAGCCAATCAAATTCACACAAACAAACTCTCTAATTATTGTAAAATCAACTCTATTGAAGAATGATAGGCTACTAGACTGACTTAATCCTACAAAGACTTAACATTAAACAACAGCCAACAGCCAATCAAATTCACACAAACAAACTCTCTAATTATTGTAAAATCAACTCTATTGAAGAATGATAGGCTACTAGACTGACTTAATCCTACAAAGACTTAACATTAAACAACAGCCAACAGCCAATCAAATTCACACAAACAAACTCTCTAATTATTGTAAAATCAACTCTATTGAAGAATGATAGGCTACTAGACTGACTTAATCCTACAAAGACTTAACATTAAACAACAGCCAACAGCCAATCAAATTCACACAAACAAACTCTCTAATTATTGTAAAATCAACTCTATTGAAGAATGATAGGCTACTAGACTGACTTAATCCTACAAAGACTTAACATTAAACAACAGCCAACAGCCAATCAAATTCACACAAACAAACTCTCTAATTATTGTAAAATCAACTCTATTGAAGAATGATAGGCTACTAGACTGACTTAATCCTACAAAGACTTAACATTAAACAACAGCCAACAGCCAATCAAATTCACACAAACAAACTCTCTAATTATTGTAAAATCAACTCTATTGAAGAATGATAGGCTACTAGACTGACTTAATCCTACAAAGACTTAACATTAAACAACAGCCAACAGCCAATCAAATTCACACAAACAAACTCTCTAATTATTGTAAAATCAACTCTATTGAAGAATGATAGGCTACTAGACTGACTTAATCCTACAAAGACTTAACATTAAACAACAGCCAACAGCCAATCAAATTCACACAAACAAACTCTCTAATTATTGTAAAATCAACTCTATTGAAGAATGATAAGCTACTAGACCGACTTAATCCTACAAAGACTTAACATTAGAGTCTTCTGGTCTAAATAAAGCCGTGTACAATAATAACCCAATTACGTTAACTTAATCTATAAGATGATCCATGGGCAATTACACACCATATGTTTAGCAATTTAAAAAGTAACCAAAATACTGCTAACTACAAGAGTCCTAAAATCTCTTCAGCAATGTTCTAACATATAGAATGCATAAAATAAGTCTCGGATGGACGCTAAACATGATTACAAGAAGCACTAGATGTGCTCCATCTGAAATTCTCAATTTAAAAAATAAATAGATAATTATTTTTGTATGTTCATCATCATTTTCTTCCAAGAACAAAAATTTATGCTGTTAACAGGAGATTCTCATCATTAGAAGAGATATATTACTATATATCAATCAAAAAAGTTAAGCAAGAGTACTAAGCCAACATTAAGTAAGGGTTGAGGGTTCATTCTCAGGATTTTGCAAGTTGGGTGCAACCATGGTCACTAGTGTCCCTGGGACGTATCAAAAGGGGGGGAAAAATTGAGAGAACAACATTCACGCATAAAAACAGAGAGTCAAATGAGATGCTGATATATACTTAACATAAAGATAAAGAGTGAACGGCTACTATTGAAGATGCTAACACAAGCAAAAAAAAAAAAAATTTTTTTTGATAAATCATTGGTTTATTAATAAGATTTCATCATTATCTATATATATTAATGTCAAGCTCAAAATGAAGAAGGAAATTAAAGTTAGGGACCATTAAAAAGGTAAGGAAGAGAAATTTCAAAGCATGAGAAAGTATACCATTGAAAAAATCAACGTAATGGGAGGGAGATTCTCTTGGAAGTCCATTATATAGCATCAGAAACTCAGTTTCACATCATCTTCCCATCCAATCTACTTAGCCATGACCAGCTTTTTTCTTTGTTTGCCCTTGCACCCTGCATTGCCCTGGCTACTGGTATTCCTCCTGGGGGTCAGTAATGCTTTTGAAGGACCTGAAGAATACAAGACATACATCATCCACATGGACCGTTCACAGAAACCAGCAACTTTCTTAAGCCATGAGTCATGGCACAAGTTTACTCTAAAATCGTGATCTTCATTTCCCGCTGACCATGAAGATAAGTTACTCTATTCATATGACCATGTCATGCATGGTTTCAGTGCCAGGCTCACACCCTCTCAACTATCTGAACTCGAAAAGTCCCCAGCTCACCGTGCAACATATGAGGAGTCCTTTGGTAAGCTCTTCACAACCCACACCACCAAGTTCCTTGGCCTAAAAAGTAGAACTGGCATATGGCCTGCTTCTTCTTTTGGCAAAGATGTTATCGTAGGAATAATAGACACTGGAATTTGGCCAGAAAGCGAGAGCTTTCAGGACAAAGGGATGTCACCAGTGCCAGAGAGATGGAAGGGCAAGTGTGAAAATGGCACAGATTTTGGCCCTTCAGCCTGCAACAGGAAGCTCATTGGTGCTCAGTCTTTTAGCAAAGGACTCCGTGCTTCAGGTAAAAAAATTTCCAAGGAAGATGACTACAAATCAGCAAGAGACTTCGCTGGTCATGGAACCCACACCTCGTCCACAGCAGCGGGTACCCATGTACTTGGTGCTAGTCACTTTGGGTATGCTAAAGGCATAGCCAGAGGGATAGCACCAAATGCACATATCGCCATGTACAAGGTCCTCTGGTCAACAAGCACAGAGGAGGCTGCAGCTACTGATGTGCTCGCCGGCATGGATCGAGCTATTGCTGATGGGGTGGACATCATGTCTCTGTCTCTGGGATTTACACAGACATCTTATTTCAAGGATGTCATAGCTATGGCATCTCTTTCAGCAATAGAGAAAGGGATTGTTGTTATCTGTTCTGCTGGAAATGATGGAGGTCCAAACACAACATACAATGGAGCACCTTGGATCATGACGGTAGGTGCTGGCACTGTTGACCGAAGTTTTGGAGGAAAAATGCACCTAGGAAATGGAGCAACTATGGAAGGAACATCATACTTCCCGGAAAGCATATACATTACTGACACACCTTTGTATTATGGGGAACGTAATCAAAGCAAAGCAACATGCAACCTTTATGCTTTGGATCCAAAAGAGGTTCACAGTAAGGTAGTCCTATGTGATAATGGCGGCAACATTAGTGTTTTTGAACAAATGATAGAAATTTTTAGGGCAGGTGGATATGCAGGCATCTTCATGGCAGACCATGTTGCTTTAGGTCCAGCTGGGTCCTTCATTCCTAGCCTGGTTTTAAAAACTAGTTCCGGGACTTCAGTCAAAGAGTATGCAACCAAGGCAAAAAAAGCGATGGTGAAGAGCATGAGGTTCATGATGACAAGCTTGGGCACAAAACCAGCTCCTCAAGTTGCCCATTTTTCTTCTAGAGGACCTGACCCGATTAGCCCAGGTGTTCTAAAACCAGATATTCTCGCTCCTAGGGCAGATATTCTGGCAGCAGTTGCACCGAATAAACCTTTCACTATAATAGGCAACTACAATTTGGTCACAGATTATGCACTGTACTCAGGAACATCAATGGCAGCACCCCATGTTGCAGGAGTTGCAGCATTACTGAAGGCTGTCCACCACGATTGGAGCCCTGCAGCCATAAGATCAGCCATCATGACCACCGCAAATTTAGTTGACAATACAGGCACAACCTTCAAAGACCAATGGACTGGACTCCATGCCACGCCTCTAGACTTCGGGGCAGGCCACATCAATCCCAATAAAGCCATGGACCCAGGCCTGATATATGACATGGGTTTCCAAGATTATATTGAGTTCCTGTGTCGCCTTGGCTATAGTAAGAAGCAGATGAGCGCTGTCCTCAGAAGAAATCAGTGGAGCTGCAGCCAAAATCCCATTGACCTCAATTATCCTTCTTTCGTTGCCATATTTCCCAAAGGAGCCAGCTCCATAAAAGAAAAGAACTTCAGCAGGGTTGTCACAAATGTGGGAGATGATACAGCCACTTATCAAGCAGTTTTAGTTGTTCCTACTGGAATGAGGATCAAAGTAGAGCCCAGTACTCTCACATTCACAAGCAAATTTCAGAAGCAAAGGTTTGCTATGAGTGTAGAGGTTGATAAAGATGCAACAAACATAACGAGTGGCTATCTCAAATGGATTGATCAGGCTAACCACACAGTATCAAGCCCCATTGTAGCCATTTCGGGCTGACATCCTCAGCATAGGTATTCTACCCAACCAAAATATGTTAAACCAATATTCTGATATGAATCTCAATAAAGGATCAAAACATTATGCAATTATAAAGTAGAAGTGTGAAACAAGGCTAGATAGTTTTATATACACCTTAAACAAGCCAAAATTTTCCAATAAAATGTCAATATAAGCTCTTAGGAGATGTGGTTGTATGGCATAAAATATATGCAGGCTGCAGCTTATCAAAAATTATGAATTGAAAGTGTGTGAAGATTGTAGGATTTTAGTTTGTTAGTAAAGTTATATTGTGACTAAAGGGGTAGCCACTGCTCCATCAGCTCGAATCCCTCAACTTTTCCCTCAGCACACCTTAAGGTGTGGCTACAAGACCACTGGGCCAAACCCAGGGTCTTGTCGATGATTCACTCAGAACTAGTAACTCCAACAGCCAAAAGCAGAATGTAAGCTATGGGAAAATCAGTAACAATCAACTCCAATAACAAAAGGTAGAATATCAGTTACAAGGAAATCAGTAATAATATGCAAAAAATTGTATTCCTGTATCTAGGAGTAGACAACCCATAACTTAGTCGTCTGTACAACAAGATTTAAGTTCTATTACGTTGTATCCATTTGCAGAGTGGGTCAACTTGGTTGTTCTAGATTATTGCTTACTTGTATTTTCATAATCGTACAATTTTATCACCCTCCTTTTTTACCTCTTACTCAACAAAATTATGCACCATGCTTTGAGCAACTCCAACCCACTAGGCATACAATGCTTGTTATTCAAAATGCTTAATGTGACTCACTTTTTTCAACTCCAATGCACTAGGCATATGATTAGGCACTTTGGCTCAGCTCACATTCACTAGCTACATATAACTAACCTTCAAGGCTAGGCAAAATGTATTTAATCATTAAGATTATTTCCTTCCATCTTTGTTGTTGGCATGGCATTCTATAAAGTTAATGAAAAGTTAAAATAAAGAGCACGGTTGGAATAAAAACATAAAACAGTTGACAGGCACAATAAAATGTATATTTTATAATAACATCGGCCTCAATCCAAACCAGACATAACTCATCAGAGTAAAGGGGCCAAACGGAAGCAAAATTTAAAACTTTGTCCATAGAGCTGTGCTTACATGGCACGTCATAACAAACCATACATACACATATTAATAACTCACATCAGAAAATACAGCGGCATAAAATTCTGTACAGACAGGATCATTCAAGTCTAAGTTAGCCAATCAAGACTATATACAAATATAGCCAAAGTCCTCGCCGACATGACAAAATAAAACAAGATAGCAAAAGGGCGAAGACGGGTCTCGTGCGTAAGTCGTAAAGGTTGATTTTTCAAAACCTCGATTGTTCCACACAAACTTCACTGAGACTGGGTTTGGACCTCCCTTGGCTCACCAACAAACACATGAATGAACGTGAGCGAAAGCCCAGTGAATAATATCAAATAAAGAAGTTACACAACGGTATTTAGAACAACGTAGTTCAAACGGCCTTGGGCCCAATTCGTATTTCTATCTAGCTTATATATAAATATAGGTCAAGTGACTCCGGTTCCAAACACATCATACCGCCTCGGGCCCAATTCATTCGTATCATTTATGTCGAACGGCCTCTGGCCCATTCATTCAAGTCATAAGGCCTCTGGCCCATTCATTCATGTCATACGGCCTCTGGCCCATTCACTCATGTCATGCGGCCTCTGGCCCATTCATTTATATCAGACTATCATTCGAGTCAGACTATCATCCATGTCATACGGCCTCTGGCCCATTCATTCATGTCATACGTCCTCTGGCCCTTCCATTCTTTCATTCATGTCAAACTGGCCTTTGACCCATTCATTTTATCATTCATGTCATACTGGCCTTTGGCCCATTCATTCTATCATTCGTGTCAAACTGGCCTTTGGCCCATTCATTCTATCATTCATGTCAAACTAGCCTTTGGCCCATTCTTTTGGCATAGCAAACATTCGTCCACCATTCAAATTAACAAACTTATAAGACTTACACAAAAATAAGCAATCGGACAAACAATATATTTCAAATATCTTTATTAAGATATTACTCACAATGATCGGCTGGATGATTTGCCCCGGAGCTCGACCCTACACATTCCATGAACACAATGGGTCACAAACAATTCAATTCGTTCTTAATTCACATATTCCTCTTTAGGCTTCTTTCTTATTCTTTTAACTCATTTACAATGCTTAATGCATGCCTAAGAGTACTTAGAAGTGAAAGAGAACGGAAAACGAAGCACATAATGCATTTTCAAAATTTCAGAAACAGGGGTCCCCTGCTCGAGCGTGGACTTCCCCGCTCGAGCGGACCCATAAGGTCTGCAAAAGTATTAGTTGCCTCACTTTTACGCTCGAGCTGAATGTCATCCCACATAGCTCCCCGCCCGAGCGGACATCATGTCTGCAAAAATACTGCGAGCCCGAATTTCCCACTCGAGCGAACGTCATAAATTCTGGGTTTTCCATAATTGTTCCTCAATGGCTCAAACTTCACATATACATGTACTAACATGATCCAACACCAAATTCATTACATTATGAAGCTCAATTTCATGAATCAATCACATGCATGTCCCAATTTATACCAAACTCATTCCCAACATAATAATTTCATGCAGTCAAACTTATACTCTTAGGAATTGTGCATGCATATGGATTACAACTTCTATTCTCAACTTAGATGATGAAGAGATGGTAAAAAATACGAGCTTCAACTAAAATCTCACATGGATTATACATTTTGTGCTCAAACATGT